TCTGGGCCCCCAGGTGCTTCTCCACTCCACGGGCCATTTGCTCTGCCTGCAGGGACCTTGAGCCTCTGCTGTTGGGTGTAACCTCATGCAGCCATGAAGCTGAGCCCTCCTTGAACCACTAAGCTTGTTTTGCATCTGGAGATCCATCCTGTTCCCACCTGAAGAATAGAAAACTTAGCAGCATCCTCATAACGAATGAGCAACCTTTTGACAGATCTACACATTGGTCCCCATGGTTTCTTGGTTATTCTGTATGGCTGTGGTTTCCTGAACTCGGGACTCTATCAGCAGCTGTGACGCTGTGTTGGCATGAATGACTTGGTCTAGTTACAAGTTTCAATACCAACAGCACGGATGTGCTAGATAAGCAGAGTGGGAGTTTGTCAGAAGTCTCCTGAAGAGAACAGTTAAAAGTGCATAACTGTGTATGGTATGCATTTTCTCTTATTTAGTAGTTTTTAAATTAATTTTCATTAAAATAAAATAGAGCTCAAACAGAATGAAAACCATCACTAGAGGGGGAAAAAGTTTGATCTTATTTTTGTGGGCTCTAGGATGGAAGAGATGGGAACTCCAACATCACTGTTAATGTTTAATTTTTCATAATGGGTTCTTTCTTTAATTATTCATACATTCCCCACTTGGGTCAGGCTAAGCCCTTTACACATCTCCACACGTATTATTCCTGATCATCTCAATAGTTTTTTAAGGCAAGCATTACTCACTCATTTGTTTGAGCAACAAATACTTTGTGTTAAGTGGTGGTTTTGAGCCTGACTGAAGCAGGTGATGGGACTAACACAGGAAGAAGCAAGTTGGTTTCCTTGCTGTGAAGATAAGGTTTTATTGTTGGCAAGGGAGACAAATAAACAGGTTGCTAGGATGCTCTGTTCTTATATACTTCTGTGCGTTCTTTTATACTCATTGGAACATCTAGAGTCACATAAATGTTTTGAAGAGCACTCCCCATGCCTCTTGTCCTACTCATCCCTTTGAAGAATCTTTTCTATAGCAGTACTGCATGCAATTGGAAGGCTTTGCAGCAAAATGTTGGAAAGCTCATTACCAGGAGAATGGCAAAATCATTGTATTTCTTACACACACTGGAGTGCTTACAGCAGAGGAGTGAATAAAGTAGATCCATACATAATGAGACAACTGTGATTTATTGATAGGTCAAAGCATGAGTCCTCATTCCTTTAGAAACGTAGGAGAAAAATCTGTACAGTAGGAATGCACTTATTATCAGGAATCATAAAAGAAAAATTCTGCAAGAGCTGTACCAGATTCTCAGCCATGAACCTTTCTAGGAAGAAAGTGGGAAATGTAGGAGGGAGACAACTTTTATATATTAATGTATTATTTTTATTTGAAAAGTTAAACATGAGTTCTTTTCAAATATTTTTGAAAGCCTATTTAAAAAATTTTAAATGATAGCTGTTTGGGCAGGGTCATGTCCAGAGACCTGTGGTGACACAAAGGACCCTGGGTGGGGGTGAGAGGGTCGGAGATGGCGCCTTAGAGATACGGACACTCTTGCTGTTGTCAGCATGCACCTGTCAGCTGTGCAAAGGGACACGGAGAGGACAGGAGCTTCTAGGTAGGTGCAATGAAGCTGCCACAGCCAGTGTTTCTGCAGCTCTCCAGGCCATAATGGGTGCTGCTTCCTTCTCTGGCCTCCTGGTGCTCGGAGAGGTTCCTAAGAACTTTTCGCATTTCTGCTCCCACCTCCCTCACTGCTGCAGCCTTGGTTCTATTCTACCATCTCCCTTGGTCTCCCCTGGCCCCTGTCTGCGCCCCATGTCCTTCAGCTCCATCTGCCCTTGCTTTGTTGAGTTAGCTCTCAGAAATGCAGTTAAGAACCTGTGATGTCCTGTCCTAAGCTTTCTCAGGGGTGCTGTCTTGCTCTAGGATGTCGCTCCCACTTTTGAAGCAGGCATGAGAAGCCTTGCTTACCCCCCATTTCCTCACACAGCTACTTCTGTGTCCAGAAGCTCTTCGTTTCTTTACCAGTGTCACTCTTCTTACCCACCAAGGTAAAGAAAGAAAACCCATGATGCGGATTGCATCTTAACTTGCAAATATTCTTCCTAACTTACCTCCCTTTCTGATGTTAGTGTCCATACTTTCCCATTATTTTGAGATAATGGTTTAGAAATTAACACATGATATATTTTTTTAAACACTTTTGGTATGTGTTCATTTGTAAATGTTCTTGAATGGATGTTTCAAATGTCAGGTCAGGGTCTCCACACAAAGGATTTGAGAATCTGGTATTAATTTGCACGCTTGTCTACTCAGAATCCAGAAACAATCTGCCTTTATACAATGCACGCTGTTCTAAGCGCACCACGTTTTGCTAAACGTACAGTTAACGTGTGGACTGTGTACAAAAAGAATGAGAGTTCGCACAGTTTTGCCATAAGATACATTAATGTTATCCTTCCATCCCCTCGTGCCCTGAGTTTGTATCTTTTTTCTATTATTGAATCGCAATAAATAACCTTCATTAAATAATTGGAGTTAGTTTACGCTTGTTGATTTTCAGAAATGCTTGCACGGAAAAAGTCAGTAGGACTAAATTAATATACTGTCGTCTGGCGCCCTCTGCTGGCCATTCTTTTAACAAGTCAAGCTATAGGGTTTTTTTGGAGGGAGGGGTGACATGGGTAAGGGACAGGTTTGTTCAGTAAATATCATTATTACAGAAAATATCCACAGGGAGCAAGATACATTGCTATTAAAAAGCAATAATAAAATGTATAGCAGTAGTTCTGTTAGTGGCAATATTGAGAACTAGAATCAAATTTCATCCGTAACTTTACAGCACTGCTCTGTCAGGATAGGATGCATGCTAGAGTTCAACAGTGAAGTTTATTCAGGGTTCTAAATCCTGTGACAAGGATTATTCCAGAACCTTCCAAAAGCTAGACTTTTCACTCAGTAATGTGTCTTTTTGGTATTTTAGTAAATAATTTTTCATTTTGAATCAGTTGATTTTGGTAAATGTGTTGGTGTTTGTGTCTTTGTGACCTGTTTACTCATTGAAGGCGGTTCACATTTAATATTGAGGAGTAATTGCTAACAAGTTTGATCTGAGTGATCCTGTCTTCTCTTAATGTCAGTTCAGCACCGGTAACCAGAAGTCACATGAAGGCTTTCAGTTAAATTTCATTTCTTTCTCCTTTTCTTTTCATTCTTCCTCTCTTTCCCTCCTTGCTAGAATCACAGCAAGAGGCTAGGGTAAGAAGGTAGCATTTTGGGGTCAGTAATTTAGCTCATTTAGTTACCGTGTCCTTTGCATCCTAAAACGTTCTGCTCCCTTCTCTTTTGTTAACGAAACTTTAAAATATTTTTGGAATTTATTTTTTAAATTGACAAAAATTATATATATTTGTCACATACAGCGTTGTTTTGAAAAATGTGCATGTGTGGACTGGTTAAATAGAGCTCATGACAGATGCTCGGCTCCATAATTTTTCATTTTCTGTGGTGAGAGCACTCAAAATCTATTCTCATCAGTTTTCTAGAATGCGATAGACTGCTATCTGTAGTCAATGTGTAATGAAGTAAAAATGATTTGAGTAGTAATTTATTTCATCTAATAATAAAAGTTCACATTTATTGAGCGAAGCCTTTGAGGGACACTAACTTGTAATTCTTTCAGTTACTCATGAGGCAGCCAGTTAGCTGTTCTTACTTGCTTTTTATTGAGTCAACTTAATAAAGGTGAGCTTCACTGAAAACTGGTGATCCAGGGCTACATCTCTTCTTATTTGGAGAGTTTCTTTCTTTTTTTTTTTTTTTTTTTTGTCTGTTTCTGGAGACAGAATCTCAATATGTAGCCTAGGCTGGCCTCCAGTTCAGGATTTTTCTGCCTCAACTGTGTATTGCTGGGCTTAGAGTTTCATCCCTCTACATCCTCTGACAGCCAGGAGTTTCTACCCACAAGATGCCACCTCGTGCCTTTCAGAGGCTTCTGCAGAGGACTGGAGACTTGACTTTGATGTTTCTGTCTCTGAGTTGAGGAATCACAAGACTACCTCAACCCAGACAGATTTTTTTTTGAGTACCCATTCTGAATGAGCCATACATATAATAGAACCTCTGTAAGTATTGTTTACTTAATTCTGAGACTATTTTATACCTATCATAAAACAGACCTGATGAGAAAAACCCCATTTTCAGTCACTGGCTTCGTCACAAACTCTCTGAAAAAGATGAGCTTAGGTATAAAAGACTGAAGGAGGGGTAGAATTGCCAGGTACAAATGCTAAAACTGCAGCAATGCATTTAGGGTTAGATACTGACAATTTTCATTTCTTTGAGATGAAGAAGTAAGAGTAATTTAGGAAGAGTTTTCTTAAACACTCAGAAGTAGAATAAAGCAATTTTCTTAAAGTTAGCAATTATAAAGAATTGCTGCCATTTAAATATTTTGCATGTGCTCTCTAATCCTCATGTTAGTCTGATGATCATTAATTGACTATTGTCAGAAGCATTATCTAGGTGAAGAGACTAAAGCCAGAGAACTTGGGGTGGTTTGCCCAAAGCTATCTGGCTAATGAATGGGAAAGCCAGTATTTGAGCTCCTTGGTCCTGGCCCTCTAAACCATTTTGCTACATATCAGTTTCTTCTGTCACGGAGAAGATATTTGATGTCTAACACAATAGAGAAGCAGTGGCTACTGAACACTTACGGTGTGTCTAGTACAACTAAAATCCTGAGCCTTTTGGCTTTGAAATTTTGATTTACATAGCCTCCCATGATGGGTAGTCATATACTGGAGAGTACAGCTCTCAGATTTTGCAGTAGAAAGATCAGATGTTTGCGGGAACTCCTTATTTTACTAATAAACTTCCTGCAACTCAGATGGGTTAGTAATCTGCTGTGAATCATAAAATTAAGGAAGGAACAAAAGTATAATGAGGCATTTGTACCTCCCAGTCGTGGTTTCTTCCATTTCGTGCTCCTTTGACAGGTGAAAATTCACATTTCTGATACCATAGGAACATGTGGTTGGAAGACTGTTGCTGTGGGAAAAATTTTAGTTTTCTGAAATACACGCGCTTGAACATTTTCTTCTTTTCCCAGGTCATAGAAACGTTGTCTCGACTTTCTCGCACACCTACAGCCTTGGCCACAGGAATCAGGTATTCATTCCTCTGTTGTTTGTGTTTCGTTCAGGGTGATGATTATTTATTGAATGGCTGCTGTTTGCAAAGCTGCTTGAATCCAGGGACCAGGTCTCACTCATGAAGAGTGCCTAGTGTATAAATAAGCGCCAAATGCACGCTTGAAATTTACTGAGCAAGAACTTATTCATGGGGCCGAATAAGCCACAGTGGCTAACTGGTATGGTTCCTTCTTTTATTTTTTGGTGTTTTTGAGATAGTTTTGCTATGTAGCCCAGGCTGGGTTTGAACTCGAGATTCTCCTGCCTCAGTTTCCTGAGTGCTGGGATTACAGACATGTACCACTCAGCCTGGATTGGTATGGTTCTTTAAAATTTTTCTTTGACTATTTCTATATGTATGATTCATTAGGATAAGCACAGATACTTGAGTAGATAAATATTTCAAAATATAATACATTTATTTCCTATACAGTAGGCCATAGTAATAACTCAAATTTTAGGAGTTTAAGAAATTCTCAGACAGGTATAAGATGATATGTGAACAAGAAAGGGCATTGCAGGGTTTATTTTGGTTTTTTTTTTTTTTTTTTGGTTAAATTAAACCATTTCCTTGCAATGGAATATTATACAGTTAGTAAGCATAGAAATATCAACACATATGTTGTTTGGGACTTGTTTTGTTTCAGATACTACTTACTTAAATAATAGCATTCAATAAAGATCACTTACAAGGAAATTAAATTAGAAAATGAAGAAAAACTGATCCAGTAGCAGCATAGTCAGGCTACATAGAAATAGAATGGGTTTTGTTTTTGACTTTATTTCTTCAGGGCTTTTCATTCCAGTCTCCAGCCATCATGGGGCTGTGGAATCCTGTTGCTGCTGTGTCCAGCTCATACCCATTCAAAGGGAGAAAATCCAAGCATGTCTTACAGAAGTGCTTCAGCACTGGTTGGCAGCCCAGTCCCTGGATGCAGTAAAGCACCATGGCCTCAGGGAGCACACCCTGCAGTCCCTTTCTCAGAAATGGGCCAGGACTTTGTCACTTTTCTACAGAAGTGGTCTGTAGGCTGGATAATGTCTCTTTATTTCCTCTAACAATATCTTTCCAGGTCAATACATATTTTATGTTGTTATATGCAAGTAGTTAGTTTTATAACAAGCTTCTAATTATTATGTATTCTTGATTAGAAGCCTTTTTTAAAAAATTTTTTCCTTACTCGTATTTTCTATAGTAGACTGTAGTTTCCTACAATGGACTTTATTGATATGATAGCATAATGTGCTTAAATTAAAAAAATGACTTTGAAAGCTGGGTGTTTCTTACATGTTTATTTGAAAAAAATGTAGGCCCCATAACTATCATAAATATTAAATTAATTAGTAAATCAATATGAAAATCTTCTTTTTAAATATTGTTTTGATGGCTCCTCTTTTATGGAACATACGACATTTCTTTACTCAAGAGAGTAAAAGTTTTGGCACTATGTATAATGACTGTAATTTTATTGGGAGTAAGTTTAGAGTATTACCTTTGGTCCTGGAGAAGGAATTTATAGTATTATAAGGCCAACAAGCCAAAGTGATAGGAACTGGGGATAAGCTCACGTGCAGTTGAGAACAGAGAATACAGAAAACACACTCTTCTCTTTGATTTGGTGTCCAAAAAAAGAAAATAAAAAATATAACTTTAACATCTTTAAAGAGCAGAAAAAATATGCTGGGGTAAAGAATCTGGGGTAAAGGGAATGATTTTTTTGGCTTCTGATAATTTTCATCTCTACTAGTGAAACAAATCACAAAGGATGATGGCTATCAAGTTATTTGTCAGATCAGATCTTGTAGCTGAAGAGAGGGTGCTGAAGGTAATGGCACAGGTGTAGCTGCTTGTTCTCTGAATTGGTCCCTGCAGCAGGTACCACAGGTGATCCTGCAGGTCCATGGCAGGCGGGAGATGGGATGAGCACCTTAGCATGTCCCCAGCTGCACATGTGACAGTGGTGATGGCCAGCTGTAATGGCTGCATTGGAATTTGGGGCAGCAAGTCTTGTAATTGCACTCACAGCAGCCGGCAGGCACTGCGGGGAGGCCCTCAGCGTCGTTACACATGGTGACTGAGCTGACCATTAGGCAGCAGACAGCTTTCCTGTTTAGTGAGAGGTAAGCGCTTAGCCTGGTTGTTGCTCACTCGCCTGTGCTTTTTCCCTCCTCCTAGGCCCTTCCCAACAGAAGAAAGTGTTAATGACGAAGACATCTACAAAGGCCTTCCTGACTTAATAGAGTATGTTGAACATTTCATAAAATGAAGCCACTGCCAATATTTCTGTCTACTCTGCATCTTAATTGTGGATGTTAAGTGGGCTCTCTGAAGGCATGAAGAATTAACCTGAAACTTCATAAGAAACCCTACTGGTTTTTAGTTTCTGTTGTGTGTCCCTAACAAGAGTGAAGAAACATATTGCAGTGAAATAAAATTTGGACATTTTCAAAGGTGTAATAGAGTAATAGATAAAATTGGAATTAGATGATTAAGGATTCATTAAAAAGACATAGAATCCATTAGTGGGGTTGTAGGACAAAGTGTTCTCTTTATGAGCTCACAGAAGGACATGGTAAGTATGGGCCAACGTTTGGGGATGTTTCATGCTGTTTACTCTGATAGACAATCCTTTGGGGATTTCTTATTTAATAGTCAGCAGAGGCAGAAGGTCCTTGCAGCTGGTCATCCTTTGCTGATTGAGTGACTTGTGCAGATGACAAATAAATATCAAACAGGATCCTCACTCCTGAAAGAAATGATGACTTAGATCAGGAATGTTTGCAAATAATTATAAGAAGAAATAGATTTTGCTCTGAGAGATTCCTGGAATCTATGGAAATTCATCCTTTCATTCATCCAATGCTGAGCTTGTTCTGCTCACCTGCCCTTTAGACAAGCTTGCGTTTTGAGAGTGGTGTTAGGAGTCAGAGGCAGGAGCACTGGGATTAGACTGCCAGAGAATGGACTTCAGTCTGTTTTCCTTCTGAACGCACCCCACCAATCAGAATTGGCTCCTTCCTCACTTCTTTTCTTAGCTCCCTCATAAGCTCACAAGACCTTTCTGTCCTTTGATGTGTCAGAGAATGTGCTCACACCAACTTAACTGCCTTGGCCAGGGCCTGGCTGAACCCCTCAGGATGAAAATTATAGAACTGCCAATATGGCCACCATCTTCTCAGATTTCCAAGGCAGAAGCTGAGAGGCATCTTTCACTCATTTCTCCTCTCTCCCTAATTCCGACTGGTCACCAAGTCTGGTTGACACTGTTTCTTAAGTCTCTGTGTTCCTCTTCTCATCTATCTTTATGCTAATTTCCGCTCTCAATCTCTTTCACTCCCAGTGTTTTGCCTCTTGACTTACTGATCCCCCTGCCTGTCGTCTTCTACTTCTAGCCTCCCCCAGGTCCTGTCTTAGACTCCTGGTTGATTCCCAGATGCCCAGAGTAAGGTTGAGCTCTTACACTTTGGTTTCAGCTCTTCCCTCCAGTGTCCTTCCCCTTCCATCTGGCCATGCTGAATTGTGTCGCCAATCCTCCCATCACCAGGTCACCCCACTCTACCTTTGTCTTCTTTGGTGTGGTGTGTGTGTCACCACTGTTGGGCTTTATGTTTTCTGAAGGCAGAAATTGTGTCTGCCTTCTCTGCGTTCATATCTCCTGGGTCACAGTATTTTTATAGCAAATATTTATTGAATAAACTGATTAATTCAAGATTTAGGTCAGACATAACACCTTCTGTGAAGCCTTCCTGACTTCCATAGTCAGTTATTTTTACTCTTCTCTGCTCCTGTGTTTTACAGTCACCTCTCTTGTTGGATATTCAATGTGTCTTTCGGCTGTTCTCTGTAACTGCCAGTGGGGGAGTTCTTGATCTGTACATTCTGAGCACCAAAGTGATTTTTAGTAAACGTCTGTTGGATGGATGGATGGGTGGGAAAGTGGGTGGATCAGTGACTCTGAAATGAGTTTTTCTCAGAGCGTATTTCTCTGAAATTTCGGGTACCACCAAATCTCTTTCCCTTAATACACTTTCCTTTTCTCTGGGTGTTTGACAGTTCATTCTTGTCAAATACCTCTAGATAATCCTTCATGACAAACATAAACAACCTGTGAACCTGCCTTGAAAAATGGTCCAAGTTACAGAGTGACATTTACAGTTAGACTATTTTTATTTTTGTTCATAGCAATTTGTAACATTCTATTTGCCCAGGCCCAGGAGAGGTGTTCAGGGCTGGCTGTATTGAAGGGGTTGAATTTCTTTCTCAGAAATATTCTTTTCAATATCTCTGTATTGTTAATCTCATTCTTTGGGATTATTAGTTAGCAGAAGGAATATATAGAGGTCTTGAACTAGGAGGTGAAACTTAAGGGTAGTGGCAGAACATGTAATGAATGGAACACATTGACTGAATGAACTGAGTCTCACATGACACACTCAGGGACAATGTCCTGGTGAGTCACTGTTTACATGCTCATGGAAACTTGAACAATAAGGATTATTTTCAACGGCCAGGAGACCATCAGACCATTTTAATGGCTTTAAAACAGACTTTACGTGGTTTTAAAGATCTTATTCTCCCCTCCCCCTTTAAAACAAAACGTAAACAAATAAAACAGATGATAGAGTCTGTTGAAAGGGATGTATGGGGGCTCCAGGAGTGGGCTGGAAGGGGCATAATTTTAAAAAAATCACAGGATTAGATATTGATAATAACCTTACAGTAGTTGATGCTGTTAACTGTCCTAAACAGTTTAGATGCTCCTTAAATCTCTTCCCTTCTCCATAAGAAACCCTTTGACACAGGTGGCGAAACTGAGATCATGAAGTATAAACCAAGAGAGGCAGAATGAGGGAATGGTCAAAACACAGTACGAGAGACTTGGTTCTACGTGTGGCTCTGCCATTGACTAGCTGTGCTATCTTTGACAAGTCCAATAACCTTTTGGTGTCTCAAGTTCCTCATCTCTTTAATAGATCAAATACTAAGGCATACCAGATAAGACAATTCACGCTGGCTGAATTAAGTGAGACAATATCAGTAGACGGATCATTATGTGTTTCTACAAAAGTGATTAACCAGCAAATCTTAATTCCTCCTGCCCTCATTGTTGGGTTCTGTTGTTTGTCATAAGGATCTTATCAGGAGGTACATGGGTATAGTTGAAGAAGCCTTTTGCCTCTTCCCACTCATCCCACTTTACCTCCCCTCTGGATTTTCCACTTAAAAATAGTGGAAAACTTTCAGTCTGTTTTCTGCTAAAACACAATAGGCTGTTTCTAGTCACTGCATTTACCGCATAGTGAAAAACAGCCTTCATGTTTTATTTTGTTTCAGTGAGACCCGTGTGGAAGATGAAGAAGACCTCTATGACTGCGTCTATGGGGAAGATGAAGGTGGAGAAGTCTATGAGGATTTAATGAAAGCAGAGGAAGCTCATCAATCTGTAGGACTTTTGCTCATTTTTAAATTTATTCAGAGTATTTTATTAGGAAAGTGATTATTGAAAAATCTAATTAATGTAATTATTTGACCTCCTTGGAATACCTTTTTGTTTGTTTTAGCTTTTCTTGTGTGTAGACGTCACACAACTGTGACTAGCTTGTGTGTCTGGAGATACACGCATGGTATTTTACAGGTCACAACAACCATAGGAATTACGTTGCTAGTCTAATCACTTCACTTTACCAAGGAAACCACTCTGAGAGGTAAATGACATGCCAGTCAGCTAAACAATGGCAGAGTGGCAGGAGCATATAATTTAAGTGAATCACGAAATTATCCTCTTACAAAAGGAAATCTCTTACAAAGCAGGTAAATTTTATCCTTGAAATTTAATGTAAGATGAAATATGTGTCAAAGAATATTTGTTCCCATTTGTTCAGTGGTGTTGTGAGGCTCTTTCCTCCTAGCATTTTTACTACTTTATATCCTAGTCTGAGATTCTGTCATAGCCAGTGCATGCCCTCAAAAACTTTATCTGCCATGGATATAATCTAGATCATTCAGAAAGAATTATTGGACTCTCTTTCTCATTTATGTTTCAAAAATGTGAAAAGTTAGTTATTTAGATTATTACTACTATGCTCATTTTTAATTCTTAAGGCTTTTCTTCATCAGCCAGGTGGTGACCTGGGTGTGCCAGTACTTCCCTCTCTGTTTTCTGATCGTTAATAAAGGGCTGTTGAGCTGTCCCGTGCCACATCCACTGGGGAACAGAAGCATCTGTGCGGTGGGAGCAAGCAACCTAGCTGGTGTTGGAGAAGTGTAATAAATGTGTGTTTTAACTCAAAGCAGGAGGTGACAGCCCCCCACACCCCCCCATGGCAGCACTTTCAGAATGATTTTAGATGACATGGTACCATTTCATCCCCTGCATTGTCAACTGCTTTGGTGCTGGCAGACCTTCAGGGTCTCCCCCAGGGATAGGCTCCTCTTACCTGACAGCACTGGGTTGTTGACACAGGAAGGGGTTAGCAGTAAGAATAGCTTAGGTGTCCAGCAAGGTGCAGAGGGCTTATGTGGTTTCTGTCACTTCGAACTCCTTAGATTTGCCACTGAACTTCTCTTTGTTTACAGAAGAGAAAAACGGAGTCACAGAGGAAGTTAACTTGTTCACAGTTTCAAAGCTAGTAACTACAAAACCAGCATTTGAAGTTCATTCTGTTGTGTCCCAGAGTACTGTGCTCCACCAACTCCAAACTTATGGACCCAGAGAAAGAACCAAGTGTTTAGAAGTTAATGTTTGAAAACTATTTGGAAGTGTTTACTCACACATATCTTTTTAATATTTTATAGCCACTTCTGTAGTACATGTGAAACACACTATATATTAAAGAAACTCTTACAGTATTTGTTTCAATATTCATTAACATTTTAAATAAAAAAGATGTTTTAAAGAGAATGTCTACACTCAGAACATTATTACTATTATTATTATTAATTATTGTTATTATTATTATTATTACTGGTGGGGCTGGGGTTTGAACTCAGGACCTTGCACTTGCGAGGCAGGGTCACAGGTACTTTGCCAGTTGGGCTGACCTCCAGCCCTTTATGTTTTAAGTTATTTTTTAGATAAGGTCTCACTTTTTGCTTGGTCCAGCCTTGCACTGTGATTCTCCAACTTTATGTTTCCTGTGTAGCCTGACACACCAAGCCATGCCTGGCAAAAAACCCCAAAAAACAAAAAAAACCTTACTCTTATTTTGGTGGTACTAGGATTTGAACTCAGAGCTTTGTACTTGCTAGGCAGGTGCTCTACTGCTTGAGCCATACGACCAGTCCTTTTTCCTCTGATTATTTTGGAGGTAGGGTCTTACTTTTTGCCCAGGCTGGCCTGGACTGTGATCCTCCTATTTTTAACGCTTCCTGCTGTCGCTAGGATGACGGGTGCACCCCACCACGTCCAGCTTTTTACTGTTGAGATGGGGTCTTGCCAAGTTTTTCTTTTTGTGCCATGGTACTGGAACCTTGATCCTCCCTATCTGACCTCAGTCTCCTGTGTATCTGGGGATAACAGGTGCTTACCACTGCACTCGGCTATTGGTGGAGATGGGGTCTTGCAAACTCCCTTCCCTGGTTAGCTATGAACTTTAGCCCTCCGCATCTCAGCCTTCCTAGTAGCTAGGATTACAGGTGTGAGCCACTGGTGCTTGGTTAAAAAACTTATTCTTACTCACCTGAAACTTTTTTATTTTAGATTTTTTTAAAACTGAAAAAAAAAACTCAGATGTTACAAATGCAGTTAAGTGTATCTTTTAGTTATCTGTTTTATTAGGATGGAAAGTTTAAGAAAAACAAAAATCTTTTTCTTTCTGTCTGCTACTTCTTTAGATCAATATATGAATTTGATTAAATAATTTTGTTTTTATCATTCTAACTGCAGAAATGTCCAGAAAATGATATTAGAAGTTGTTGCCTAGCAGAAATTAAGCAGACAGAAGAAAAATATACAGAAACTTTGGAGTCAATAGAAAAAGTAAGTCGTCAGGTTATTGACCCGCAAATACTTCTTTTGTAGTTAATATGTCAAACTCACCATTTCTGCTGTGTGTGTGTATTCTAATTTTCAGTATAACTTTGCATTTAAAGCCAGGCACAGTAAGGCAAATACTACAAGGTCTCATCCATAGTTGAAATCTAAAGAAGCTGAACTTGTATGAGTTGAAAGTGGAGTAGTGGTTACCTGAGGCTTGGGTGGTTGGCATGGGGATAGCAAGATGGTGGTTAAATCATGTATGATTACAGTTACATAGAGGGGATATTTTAAAAATTGTGTCCAGAATTGGCAAATATATAGACAGAGAGTAGATAAGTGATTGGGAAAGGGGACGGTGGTGTGTGTTGTGGGGATAGGATGGTGGGGTAGGGAAGGAAAAATAGGGACTGAGCATTAATGGTTATAGAATTCCTTTTTCATATGAGAATTTCTAAAACTGATTGTGGTATGGTTACACAACTGTATGAACACACTAAGAAACATTTGATTGCATACTTTAAGTTGGCAAATTGTATGATACAAGAAATACATCTCAGTGCAGCTCTTAAGAAAAGGAAAAGATCTCAAAGCAAATTTATTAATTCCAAAACTACTTACTGACCTTTTAGGAGCAGAATGACACTGTTTTAGGAACCGAGGATATAGCAGTAAAAGCAAAAAATGCATTTTCTGTCTCATAGGAAAGTTTAGACTGTAATCAATATGTATGTATGTATGTATGTATGTGTATATGTTGGAGAGTTGGTAAGTTATCTAAAGAAAAACTAAGTTGGGAAAGGGATAGAGGTGGGGAGTGCAGGAATTATTTTATAATTTTCTTTTTTACTGTGGTGCTAAGGTTTGAATTCAGGGCCTTACACTTGCTAGGCAGGTACTCTACACTTGAGCCATACCCTCAACCAACCCCTGGCCATATTTTATAAAGAGTGGAAACAGAAGGCCTCTGTGGTAAGACCGTGTTCAAGCAGAGGAAATTGAAGACATGAGACATGCATATATCCCAGTGAAGACAGTTGTAGGAGAAAGGCCTCCAAGGGAAGAGGGTTCAGGACATGCTGTAGGGAACAACAGTGGTCTAGTGAGTGGACAGAAGGCCAGGGAGCTGGTGACCTACCAGGTTATGTGAGGACAAAAGCTAGAATGGTTTTAGAGGTGACATGCAATCTTTAACATTTTATTCTGGCTTTGGGAGAAAAGGGTGGGAACTGGGAGAAAGATTAGAAGGAAATTGCAATAATCTAAATAACAGACAGTGGTGTATTGGAGATGCCAGAGGAGGTCAGATTCTAGAAATAAATTTTAAAATTAGAGTCAACTGGAAGTGATGATGGCTTAGGCAAAGGATGTGAGAGGAAGAGAGGTTTGAGCAGTGTGTGAATTAAGATGGCTAAGGGTTCACATTGAACTTGTGGAATACATTGAGGAAGATGTTAGATGCATGAGTTGGCGTAGATGGCAAGGGTTGATTTGATATGCAGTTTGGGCCTTTGTCATTGCACGTGGAATTGAAGCCTGTGGGACTTCAAATGTGTGGTGTCACACAAGGGAAGACATGTTGGGGAAGAGATTGGCTACTTTTAGTGAATCCCACATTTAGAGGTTAGCAAAATAAGAACCAGGAGAAAACGTTTTAGCTTTAGGAAGAGAAGTGATGTTTAGGGGAGTGGGAGAGTAAACTGACTAGGGCAATGTAGTGGGACAGTGTAACATTGAGTTTCAAGGTTGTGCTTAAAGCAGTATAGTCTATGCTAAACTTCTCAGACACAGGTACAAAATATGTAGCAAGCTGGATCTAACCTAGATATTTGTTTTCCCAGAAAAGTATAGTGGAGGAAGAGAGGGTCAGCATACAGGGAAGTGATTCTAGTGATGGTTCCTGGAGTGTAAACTGGGTAAGGAGGGAAGAGAGAACTTGAGAATTGAGGGGCCATCCGTGGATTGACTGGCCCAGTAGGGCTGGAGAATTCCTTAAAGGAATGAGCTGTAAAGGTAAGAGATAAGGTTCAGAGAGGTGGTTGCTTGAAACTAACTGTGACACATACTCAGTTGTTGATAATGACCAGGTCTTTAGGCGTGACAAGGACATTTGGGAGCAGATCGAGGCTGGAGCATGGGATTGCTGGAGGTCAGGGTACTGACAGGCCAGGCTTTTGGAAGAGTCATGTTCATAGATGCTGAGGTTGCCAAGAATGAAAGAGCGATGGCAGGCCAGGAACAGAACTTCTTAAGGGATGATGGAAAATGATCCATAAATCACATAAACAGATTACTGATCACAAGAATCTATGTAATCTCCACAAAATACATGGACTGGTTTTATATAGTTCCTCAAATGTATCACTCAAATGTTCCCATTGTTTACCAACTTGGTCAGTAGTGCTCTTTCTTTCTTGTAGAAACATTTATTGTCTAAATCCTTTATTTTATATCTTAAATGATTTAGTTTATGTCTATTTCTCTTCAGCTGAAAAATCCTTATGACAGGGAAAGTTTCTAATTTTTTGTATTTATAATGCTGACAAAAATTGACTTTCAATAAATCTTTGTTACTGATGAAAATTATTATATTGATTAGATCAAGTTAGGCTTAATTATTACTCCCTCCTCTCTCCTGGTAGTATTTCATGGCACCACTGAAAAGGTTTCTGACTGCAACGGAATTTGATTCAGTCTTCATCAACATTCCTGTAAGTAAAAATGCCATCACTAAAATTCTGAAGCACTTCTACACAAGCCTCATTTTCTTAGTGGGTTGCAATTCCTATTTTGACATTCTTTTATATTCCTTAAGAATTTTGATCCTATTTTTACTTCCCAAGTTCTTACAGCCTTACCTTCTTGAAAAACTGATGGCCTGTCTTTAATCAAAAGCCAGTCAGAATGCATGTAGAACAATTCATATGTTAGTCATAACTCGTCATGAAGAGCTAGTGTCAATTAAATAGTCTTGGTTCTACTGTCTGTTTGTCTTCTGGTGGGGCCATGTTCTGTCCCACCCCTTCCTGTTCTTGCTACTTCGGCCCCTGGGACATCCATCACATCCCTCCATTTCTCAGCTTCTGCTCTCTGGGTCCTTCTTTTTCCAGTTGTATCAGTCTTAACTCACATTCCTGATATGCTGCATCTTTATAATTTAACGGACTATTTTAATGATAAAACCTGAGATTTTTTTTTCATATATATGTAAGCACCTTATTATACCTTGTAATCTTAAAAGGGTATTTGCTGAGAAATGTAGAATCAAGCTAAGTTCTGTGCCAAATGAGGTAGCATTAGGCAAGATTTAAACCTCTAGATCTTGCTTTGGTTTATACACACACACACACATACACATAAACGCACATGCATATATATATATGTGTGTGTGTGTGTGTGTGTGTATATATGTATAATATATGTATTTGTATTTATAACATAACACACAACACATTTAAATGAGCTTTTATGTACAGGATTCCTTGTATCACCCGAAAAAGTCCCTTCTATTTTGGTTCTGTTATGTTCTGTGTTGTGGAGCACCAGCTGATAAACTCTCATCCCTAATTGAGGCTGAATGAAGACTCAATTGTATCTGGCAGAAAACGCTCACAGATCAGATGAAGGCTTGGCATAAACAACTGCACATTCTAGGAAATAGGGATCTTGAGTCTCTTAAATATGGCCACTATAACTTATTCCACAGGCCTTATTCTTACAGTTTTTCCCATGCTACCCAACAAAATGATAGGGTCAACACATTCTGCCCTACAAAGAAAAGAGCTGTGGTGTCAGTCTGTTCTTCAAGGTGCATAGGAAGAGGTAATTAATGGAGGGTTGGTTCCTGGATTTTAATTTCTTCATTTCCTATCCATGACACATATTTACTGCTGAAAATTACTTCCTTATCAGGAAAAAGGTGAAATTCTGACTTTTGAGTTGCTGTAGGAAACTGTTGAGCACGATATATTTGCTTCTTATGTATGTATCATTGGTTACCTGGTTTCAAGTAATTTAGTTGGGTTATTGTTAGCTTAGTACCAGAACACCACTAATTGACCAAAGTACAAATCTACATTTCTGTGTCCCAAGGACATGAATCATTACTTTATTCCATCAATAAAATATTAAGCACTTAGTTTTATTTAAAAATTTACAGTGATTATAAAATGAAAAGCTGTACATATTTTTATACAAAGAATAAATTATACTATAATAACTAGTGAGATAATTTCCTTTTTACTCAGGACATTGAAATTTCTAGTCAGAACTGAAGTTGCCATTTCTTGTGCACGTCTTTTTTCCCTTTCTTCTTGTCTCCCTGCCCCTTTCCTCCTCCTCTTTCTCCCTCTTTTTTTTTTTCATTTATTCATATGTGCATACAGTGTCTGGGTTCCTTCTCCCTCTTTCGTTTTTCTCTCCTGTCCCTCCAAGTCCTTTCTCCTCCTGGATCTGTCCCCTCCTTCTCTTTTCTTCATTAATGGTAGCAGGTTTATATATTGAGAAAATTCCTTATAGCCTGAGTGGTGGGTCTAGCAACAGTAGACTCTTTTGGTTTGGGATAGATTTTTGGGTTCTGATTCCAACTTTTCTTTCACATTTTCCCCCCCTAAGGAACTTGTAAAAGTTCATCGGAACTTAATGCAAGAGATTCATGATTCCATTGTAAATAAGAATGACCAGAACTTGTATCAAGTTTTCATTAACTACAAGGAAAGGTAATTTTTACATTTAAAGAAAATGTGGTTATTAGTTTGGAATTTTGGTGAAGATTAGTGTTAAAATGAATAACAAACAGCTATTTCTACTGTTTATTCCAGTACTCCCTGGGTAGTAATTAGAACATGGGATGTCACATCTCAGGGCAGTAGTTTATTTTAAAAGGTGTCCATAATGGTGTTGAGACTTTTGTGTTGCAAATTAAAATGCTGAGGTTGTTCCCCAGGTCTTGTTACTACTGTCACTAAGCCATTTTAACTCTCGGGGTCCTCCTTTTCTCATCTGTAAGTGTTGGGGTAGATTAGCTGATACCTATTGCTTTTTTCAGCCCTAATATTTTATAATTCTTTGTTTTGGAGCATTAGATTCATATTCAAAGGCAGTTTCCCTTAGTAGGTTAAAAATAAGACTTCTGAATGACTCACACGAAGTAGAATTTTCAGCAATTTTGACTAAAATGTAATGCTCTCTCATTTAAATCAAACATTCTGGTTCTTAGTACTAAGTGGTTAATGAATTGCTTCATGTCAACACTTATGTAAATATTAACAATTTATTTGTCATTTTCTCCAGTGGATAATTAAAAGAAACAATAAACCCAACTGTTTGCAAAGTATCTGTTTTGTGGACTATCCATGAGCGGGCTCAGACGACGTGCGGTGTGAGCCCTCTTCTACCCCACACCGCTTAGGCCTCTCAGCCCACTTTCTGGATGATGGATATCCCTTAATTAAAAAGTAGCAAGGAGTAGGAGGGTAATTAATGAGTGCAGGCATGCTGATTACAATAAAATTGGTGTAGAAAATAAAACTTCTGAGCATGAGTAGACAGTAAAATGTTTGTGTTTAATAGGAGCTTAAAAAGGAAATGTGTACACACATGTATACACATATATTTAAATGATAATGCTCATTGAGCCAGATTGTAAAATCTACCTGCTAGAAAAATGTATTTGGAATTAATCCTATTCAGATTTGGAACCAAAAGCAAGTGTGTAAATATGAGTGACCCTCATTCTGTGACTGTGGATGTGATTGTATTGAAGAAAAGAATTTCTCCTGCTGCTTTGCTTTTCTCTAACTGTGGTTTTAAAGAGATGGAATTCTGCCTCACCCCCTGCTCCATGATTGCTTCTTTTTGCCTGACAGATTTCTTCCTCTATCTCCTTCCTTTTCAGATTGGTTATTTATGGGCAGTACTGCAGTGGAGTGGAGTTGGCCATCTCTAATTTAGACTACATTTCTAAGACAAAGGAAGATGTCAAATTGAAATTAGAGGTACTTGTTTCTGACCTAAAGTAAAATGAAATGAAAAGCAGTGTATTCTCCTTCCTGATGAATGCAAGAGTACATTTCCCTGTGCATTCTAAATATTTCGTGTCAGTTTTATAAAATATTTTAGTAGACAACTCTATAAAATGATAACATAGGCATAGGCATAGTAACTGTCACAAATCTAGCTTTTATGACTCTGGTCTTCATATACATTATCTGTTTAGGTCTTTGGACTCTGTGAGGTGCATAAAATTAAGTTTCTCTGCTTGTTGGTGAGAAGGCTGAGTTTGGGGATATTAGAGTAACTTACCCAGGGTGACCTGGGTAGTAAGAGGTGTAGGATGAGTAAGATGATTTTTTTTCTCAGCTTAAAAGCTCCCCTTCTGACCAGGGTCTGATTTGGAAGTATTTAAGAAGGTACCGCAATACTCCGACATTACGCTGTTGGAGATGCCTGCTGCCAGCCCCAGTGTGATGGAGGGAAAGCATCTTTATCCATGGTGTCTCTGCTGGCTTCCTGTTTTCTGTTTTGTGGTTATTTTTGTTTGTATTGATTTTTTTTTTTTTTGTCTTTTTCTTTTCCACTTGGAACCAAGAAAACTTGTGGTGAAGGGTAAAAGAGCCTCTTTACCAGTCCTGTAAGCCTGGCCTGGCTTATTTTATTTTCCTTTCAGTTACAATTGAGTTTAAGCTAAGTGTGTCAGAATGCTTCAGAGGAGTTATTTCCACCCTGTATTTATTTTCAGTGCCAATAAGCATTTTACACCTGTTTCTAGCCCCAGTATAACTAAGGCCAGTATTCTGGTTTCTTTACATCCTGAACTTATAACTTAAAGGAACTGATTTTTCTTTCCCCAAAATTTCTATCACATACAGATTTTTAGATGTAAAATTTCCTGTTCCTAGCAGAAACTTTGTTTCTGTTGGGATGGCTTGATATAAGAAGTACAACCTCCATTTTCCAAGGAGCTGAAAATGCAGTGAGAGAGATGAGATCCACTCATTGTAAAAACAGCTTAACCTCCTATTTGAGACCCATGACCCAAAATGCTGTACAATCTGTAGAAGCAAGAAATCAGTTGAAATAGTTATCCTTCAATGAACTGTGATAAGTGATAAGACACAAACTAACCCGTCAAGATGTTTCCCTAAGATCTGTAGTCAGACATACCTGTTAAGTCACTGAGACCATTAGAATTGATGGTTTTTGCTTCACAGCTCCTGGTAGTATGTATTTCAGTGTGCCAGAAAAGCTAAGTGTAGGCCAAGGGTAAACAAACTTGTGAGCAGAAGTACTTTCATTGTTATTTTATTTTCAGAATTATTTTTGGTAGCATATAACACTTATACAAAGGGGTTTCATTGTGATTTCCAGATGTGCATAATAATGTACTTTGATTATATTCTCCACCTATATTACTTTTTCTTTTAAAGTAATTTTTATTAGAATATATTAATCGTGCAAAGTGGTTTCATTTTGATATTTACACACATGCGTATAATGTACTTTGATCAAATTCACCCCAGTATTCAGTGTGAGTATTTTCTTAAGCACAACTCCTCAGTGAACTGAAAAAGCCTTTGGTCTGGGATGTGAGGATTTTGAACGTAAAATGTTGCTAACTAACAATAATGTTTTTATGATACTTTATTGAGTTTTTTTTTGATTGTGAAAAATGGTAAACTTAGGAAAGTTATTAGTCGAACCGACTTGTCACATAACCAAGAGTTACCAAATTTCAGTTTTCAATGAAGAAGCAACACTGTTTGAAAGCAAACTTTTAAGAAAGGGGAGTGTGAGATTAAAAAAGTAAAATCTTAGGCTTTAAAAAATGTTGAGTAGAGTTGTACTCATTTATATTTTGGCAAATTTTTCATTTCATTTAGTTCAATAAATATTTATTAAGCAAATACCAGATTCTTAGAGGCTCAAAGGATGTTTTGAGGAAGCTGTGATGTACAACAATAATTAAATGGCCACAGGCACACACTTACACAGACAAAAGGAGGGAGGAAGGAAGGGAAGGAGAGATAGAACCATTTTGGTTGGAATTATTCCTAACGGCCTAGAAGAACATCTTGTACGGAGGATGATGGATTTATTGAAGGCTGGTAAAAGCACAGGATGGTTGGACAGAACTGAATAATTCAAAGCACAAAGTGTGGAAGGCTCATGGCGCCTCATGGGTAGGGTCTTGCTCTTGATGTCTGGTCCCTAGGCACGCCGGGAAGGTAGAAGGTTGACTGATAAGGGTGAGCTGAGAAAGACCCTGAAGGGCCATGAGATTTCACCAGAGAAAAATAATTTTCATTCATAAAGTAGAATTTACATTTGACTCATACTTGATCAGAAATGCTCTAAGACTCGTTTGTTCTTTAATTGAAGATACTTGCTATTATTTAAAGAGGATTGTTAAGGAGGAGAGCAAAAATATTTATTCTGTAGTGGGCTGTTTCTTCACATTGCATCTTTTAGTGTTTATGACATCCCTTGAGAAAACTAACAAAAAATTGAACTATTTCATTAGGAATGTTCCAAAAGAGCAAATAATGGAAAATTTACTCTTCGAGATTTGCTTGTGGTTCCCATGCAACGTGTTTTAAAGTATCACCTCCTTCTCCAGGTATGTGACTTGAAAGTATCTGTTATTCACTTACTTATCCAACAAAACATTAATACTCCATGCATTAGGCCATATTCCCTTAAAAGGTCAAATTGTTATTATCACTAAGTGGGAAGTGTCTAGAACAACTGGACTTTTTTTTTCTTTTAGCAAAGATGATTCTACATTTGCCACAAAGTCACATTTTGTGTCCTTCAAACAGGATTGGCTTTAAAAATGAGGCAAAACAAATAAAAATATCCCTGTAACTAAGTGTTCTGTAGCTAGCAGTAATCATTTATTAGTATGTCAAGGCATCTGAATTTGGGCAGATTAGTTATATTAGATGCTTTACCTTATAAAAAGAAGCAAAAGAAGATTGCATGTGGCTTCTTTCTGCATCTTTTTTATTGTACTAAATTGTAATAAGACTAAATTTATTTTGAAATGATTCTTTTTATAACCCACAAAGCTTATGGTTTCCACGGTTAGTCCTCTAATGAGGGTGGAGAGTCTTATAAATTTAATTTGATAGCTATACCAGGAGACTCATTAGTTCTGCTCCAAAGAAATGTCTTACTGTATTAGTCTGTCAACTCTGCTGATGCTTGTGAAATGTCATTTTTCAAAAGATCTACTACCTGTATGTGAAATATAATTTTGAGTCTGCTGTGCTTTGAACATCTTGTGTATTGAAGTTCTTGAACTGTAGCTACAAAATTATTAGTCATCTCTATTTTTGTTCTGAGAATCAGAAAAATTCAAACCCTGATTATTCCTTAAAAATGCATTAAAACATTTATGAGACCTAAACCCAAGCAACCTAATCAAATTGGATTTTATGAACAAATAATAAGGAAGACATAAGCAATCAGCTTTCCAGGCATCATAGAACTAAAAAATGTCTGAAATACGGTAATAATTTATTTTGTAACTTTGGCGTAGTCAAATATTGATTGAAGAATTTAGAAGGTATAATTTAAAAGAAATATCTATTTTAATTCTTACAAAGTTTTACACTGACTTAAAATACTGTAAAATGCAACTATATTTTTTGAAAGTGAGTGAGATTCCCCCTCCAAATTTCTCTTGGATTATTTTGTGTTTTAAATTTCAAGAGTATGTTTAAGTTCTATGATGGCTTTCTAAAATAGGCAGCTTTATAAATTTGTGTACCACATGTAGGTAAGAATTCTAGAAATGTTATTTCCATCTCAAAATAGCAGTGGGGACAGTATCTGCTGACTAGAAACTTGTTGAACAAATGTGATTATAAATTTTTACATCTTGTATTAACCACTCTACTTTTATGGAGAAGTAACTTTTGAAATGCTTGATATTTTGAAATCATGGACTATGAAAATTAGAATACTTTATAGTAGGGGGGGCTGGAAACTTTAGGATTTTTTGCTATTTTACTTGAGAAAGTAGAATTAAAATTAGAAATAAAAGATTAGACTTTTGATTCTAAATACCTTTTATAGGTCCTATTTATACAGGAAGCAGTTCTGGCACTGAATACATTCAAGATTAGTGTTTTGGTCTGGGGGGGAAGATCTAGGATTTTGAACTCAGTGCTCTACGACTTGAGCTATGCCCACTGTCCTTTTTTGCTTTAGTTATGTTCCCAGTAGGTTCTTGTGTTTTTTCTCAGGCTGTCCTGTCCTGTTATCCTCCTATTTATGTCTCCTGCATGCTACCACATCCAACCTTACTGAATGAGATGGGGGTCTCAGTAACTTTTTTCCCAGGCTGGCCTTGAAACACCATCCTCCAGATCTCTGCTTCCAAGTAGCTGGGATTGTAGATGGAAGCCACTGTGCCCAGCCTCATTAAAAATTCTTGAGTGGCTCCCTTATGCTAAACACAGCTTAGCCACTCACAGTATGACAGGCTCTATACTGATAAATTCACCAGTTAGAAGGGAAAGATGAAATGTAATCTAAGAACAACACAATATGATAAGTGCACAGAAAGGACAAAAGTGACACAAAGAAGGCTCTCAATAACTGTCTTAAGGAGGCTGGAAACCTGAGTAGATCCCTCTCAATTTCACAGAGGGTGTTTCTTAAGTTGGGTTTTGAAGGAAGAGTCAAAGAGAGGAAGATTTTCTAAGAAGAGAAAAGAACATTTTTCTGTTGGATTAGGTACTAAAACATCATTTGAGGTTTGCAATTAATTTGGTATGAATAGAATATAAGTTGTTTGTGTGGAAGTTAGAGAGAGATAAATTTCCAGAATTCAGATCTCAAGTGTGACTAGGTCAGTATAGACAACAACTCAGGAGTTTGTGGAGTATCACAGGAGTCTACATAGCATAGAGAGAGGTTCTGACTTGCATTTTAGAACTCTGATACCAATAGAATGAACAGGCTGTCATGAGGAAAGACTCTAAGTTAGAAGTCTAATCAAAGCCCAGTGTATTAACGTGTTTGAAAATGGGCAAGGAGCTGATCTAGGTAGCCACAGGGAGGGTGGGTCCCAGGACAGGACACTAATTAACAATAGGACATGGTGAGGGAAATGCAAGGGCAGAGTCTGGGACACACTTTGGGTTTTGACTGAAGTAATTACCCTGATGCAAGTGCCAGTACTTAGTCATAATCAGGACCAAGAGTAGGGTTCCCAGTGAAGATGCACTGAGTCTGAGGCATGTCGGATTTGAGGGCTCTGTGAGATGCCCAGGTAAAGCTATTTGCTGCATGTGGGATGAGCAGATGCATTTGAGAATGATTGCCTCATGATGCTGGCTTATGTTGATGTCAGTTGTAATAGAATCTGTAGAGCATGCAAAATAAAAAAAAGAGGGACAAGGTTGAAAATTGTAGGGAAAAGTAATTTTCTAGAATGTAGATGAACATGAAAGACTGAGTAGTAGGCAGAAATTTAGGATGTATTTTTTTTAAAAGCCAGTGACAGCAATGACAATAAAGAGAAGCTCTTGATATCCCTGAGATGAAGGGGGATGTGGGCAGTGGAATCAAAAGCTATAGAGAAGCCATGTGTGATTGTGAGTAACAGGTGTCAGCTCAGTTAGCCATCGGGAGATCTTTCATAACCTGTGGGAAGCAGCATTGGTGTAATGGTGGGACAGAATTCCCATTGATTTTGACAAGAAAATGTGTCTAAGCATGTTTTGTGCTCTTTTGGTGTCAATTTGCTGTTCTTACAATTTGAAGTTCTCAAAAAAGATGGAGCCTAGTGGCATAAAATTTATCACAGCCTGACAGTGGTTTATTTTTAATGTGTTTTAATTTGAGGAAAGTAGCACTCACCTGTACCTTCCACACAGGAACTGGTCAAACATACCCTTGATCCTGTTGAGAAGGCAAACCTGAAACTGGCTCTTGATGCAATGAAGGTGAGAAAACTGTAGCAGTAATTTGTTTATATTTTTTTATTCTTGCCTAAAAACAATAGAATTCAAATTGCTCATGTGAACATATGGTATGCTAATATAATATGAGTTTATTATTAGTGGGGAGAGCTGTATAATTTTTATTGAAATAGATATCCTTACACAGATTTCATTGCTAGACGAAACACATGAAACCAAGACATATATTAAAAGAACTCTTCTGCAAGTTTGCCAGCTGTCACAACCTTCAGGAGTGATTCAGTAGAATGGTTTTGTTTCACATTCTTCTTGTGGTAACTAATAGAAAACCATAAGCTGCAAGCCAGCCGGTGACTTTAGGGACACCCCCATGACTCAGTTTCCTCAGATATCTCAACACCAGCTTACCGTTGTTGATGTTATGCATTATATAAGTGAATTTCACTTTGGGTTTCTATTTTCAGTTAAATGTGAAAAATCAAGAGGTACAGGTAGACGAAATCAGATGTTTTAACCATATTGGGGAACACATCAAGTCCCAGCCTCCACATTATGCTTGATCAACAAGACTTTGAAAGAAATAATTAATAATTGCCCATAACTTAAACATCATCAAACATTTGTTCTTAAAAATCAAGACGGCAGTGTGGCAGTGCTCAGAACCATGTATAGTTACCTATTGTGTCCCTGTACCAGTTTTAGAGTTAGCTCTGTTGTTCAGCTGTTCTTTGTGTCACTATCCAGACCCATAACACAATAATTTATTTTTTACCAAAAAAAGGTCCGACCAAGTGTCCTATCTTGAAAGAGGTAGTTTATGGATGCATCCTGTGGAAAAAAGTTAGAAACAAGGTTAGGAATTGCTTTTTGCAGAGTTGTATTCCTGCAGATGAATTTAAGAGGGCAGAGAAAAAAAGAAAAAGATCTCAGAAAACAGAAGAATCTGGAGCACATGAAATAAAAATAGCTAGTTACAGTATGGGAAGATTAGCTAATGTTTCCTCAAATATGAGAAAAGCCATTTTAAAATAGGTGAAGGCACATGGAGAAATATGGCCAGTGGTCTTTGTTCACTTTAATTCATTTTTTGTGCTGTTTAGTTCCTTGCCTCTCCTTTATTTCTCCTTTAATAACTCTTTACAGTTGAACCAGCCACCTTGACTGAAGGCTCTCAGGAGCAAACAAGACATTAATTGGTTGCAGAGAACAATCTTGCTTAGGTTGACTTCCAGTTACGTTTTGCTCCCTGCTAATCCTTCGTTCTTTCCTTGCTCTAACCTGTGTACAGATACAACTCTACCAAGGTCAGGTGTCAGTGTGCTTGGAATTTACCCTCTCTGACCTAGTTTCCCTTTGCTGCTTTGCATAGCAGCATGTTTTGTTTGCATGTTTTATTCTTCTCAGGGGTGTGGTAAATGACAACTCTTTAGTCTTCCCAGCTGCACTCCAGACATTATAAAATTGCCTTTGAGATGCAGTTTTGATTCACCAAGTATTTATTTTATTGTCATTGAAAAGTTATGGCGGTTACTTTGACCACTAATGGAATTAATGATGTGTTTTCTTTCAAAGCAGTTCGCATCTCTTTTCTAATCTTCGTGTGCCTTCTTTTTGTACCCTTCTCTTTATTCTTTAGGACTTGGCACAATATGTGAATGAAGTGAAAAGAGATAATGAGACCCTTCGTGAAATTAAGCAGTTTCAGCTATCTATAGAAAATTTGGTATGTAATTATCCTTCTATCCAGCTTTCCCTCACCCCCAAGTTAGGGGAAATTCATTCTTGAAGAAAAGATAGATTACCTTCAAGTTTCTGCTGTTGAAGATTTTTCTCCTGATTCTTCTTTTTGACAGCATTCATACTGATACCCTGTAGCACCTATGAGTCATCATCGTCCCAGAACTTCTGGCCATTGCCTGGCTCTTCCTCTGTCACACTCTGCCTCTTCTCCCAGTAGTCCGAATTCCAAACATGGGAATGCTCACATACTCGTATCACACACATTTATGGGGTGACCTCTGTTTACCAGATGCTTTGCTGGGGGGGTGACTATAAATACAAATAAAATTGTCTCCTGGTTAAGCATGCAGTCAAGACCCAGTTTAAAAATGGCATATTGAGATGGATGCTCTAACTGGGGTGCTGTAACAGGATAATAAGGGGAACTTTCTATGACTACAAAAAAATCCTCTTACGTCACTAGTCTTTTAAACTGAGACCTAAAAAACAAGAGGCCACAAGAAGATCTAGGGGGAGAGTGATTCAACTAGAAGACTTAGCAAGGCGAATGCCCAGAGATGGGCAAGAACCACTTCTGGGTATTCAGGAAACTCAATTGTAAAGAGTGATTTGAATCCAGAGTGAATGGGAAGGTAGTGAGCTCTGAAGTGTGAGGGTGGAGAGGTTCTGCATCACACAGCCTCATAGACCAAGGCCAGGGCTGAGATTTCATTGTGACTACTATGGGAAGCTAGTGCACAGTTTCTACCGGGGAATATCTCAAAACTCATTTACATTTTTCTAGGAGACCCTTAAGTAGGCAGTCTAGTCAGCAAGCAGGCTGTTGGAGTGGTTTCCAGACAGAATGGAAGTTCAGATCAACCTTTGGGCAGTACAAATAGAGAATAGATTTAAGATGCTTTTTTTTTT